GTGTGTGTGTGTGTGTGTGTGTGTGTGTGTGTGTGTGTGTGTGTGTGTGTGTGTGTGTGTGTGTGTGTGTATTATGGTTTTTATAATAAAGATGAATAAAATGACAACAGAGGGCAGTGTAAGTTGAACTTGCAGAATACAATCCATGTGTGAAACAGCACATAAGCATTTTGCGTGTGTGCGTGTACGTCCAAACACACACAAAACGAGGATTACATTTCCTTGAGGGGTCATTTCAGTGTGGTCTGAGAACAGCTGATGTGGCAAACCATCCCACAGAAAGAGAGAGGGAGAGAGAAAATGAGACGGAGAAAGGGGGATAAAGGTGGGCAAGAGAAGTCATTTAGCAATAAACAGCTTCAGTTGTCCTTCAGGCACAGCAGAACTGAGGCACTCGTGTCCTCCTGAGTCCATCAGTGGCTGGCAGAGTAAAAACTGCATTCCTTCCTCCTACAGTTTTTTTTTTCTTTATCCCTTAGTCGCCACCCTTTCACCACTTTATAGTCCCCGAATGCAACTTTTACTATTCTTAGCATACCTCTACACAAATGTTTTTGGTCTAGTGCTTTATTCCTTAGCTGTAAAAAACATTAAATATATGCTCCCATATTTCTCGAAACCCAAGCTCCCAGTTCACCAGAGCCCAACTGATATTGACACCAATATTTAGTGATTTAAAAAAAAAATAAAAATAAATAAATCCTATTTTTCCTTTCAGATGCATAAAGAATAAACAGATTCACCTAACATATGCTATGCATAGGGATTTATGAACCTTATGGAGTTCAAATGCAACAATGTGACATTTCATTTTTAAAAAATAATCACGTTTCATTGTCACAACAAATTGCAGATTACTTGTTTACTGTCAGTTGCGTCTGCAGCATTTCAAACAAGTTTTCAATAGTGAAACTGCAGAGTGACCTCTGTAGGACAAACTGTGTAACATCATCACCTATCGCCTAACTTTCTTAATACGCCCTTATGAATGGTGATAGAATATACTGACAAATATCTAATATTGGCCGACTTATCAGCCCCACCGACAAACCAGTCGAGCTCTATAGTTCAGTGTTTTATTTCCTATGAACATGGGTATAGTAACGCATTTTTGTTCATTTGTACTCAACTATGAAACATAGTGGTGTATGCACTTTTGGTCAGAAAATCCAGTTTGCATGTTCTCTTGGCGTCTGCGTGGGTTCTCTACGGGTACTCCAGCTTCCTCCTCCCACAGTCCAAAAACATGGGGTTAGGTTAATTGGCAATTCTAAATTGCACGCAGGTGTGAAAGTGAGCGTGAATGGTTGTCTGTCTGTACGTGTTAGCCCTGTGACAGACTGGTGACCTGTCCAGGCTGACTCTCACCTTCAGGGATCCACCCACACAACTCTGAATTGGATAAGCGGAAGAAAACGGATGGATGGATGGATGGAAAGTAAATTCATTTAGTAGTTTTGGAAACAGCTACATTAAAGCACAGCTGCCAGCAGTGTCCCTGATTATCCCTGACAACTAACTGTATTTCTCACAGCTACGATATCCTGACATTTGGTATCATCTCACCTTCCTGCTCTTCCTTCTACACTCTCTCTCTAAAATGTTGTCCATTGTCCTCTATTCTACTTTTCTATTCACTATCTAAACCACCTTTCAACTTTGCTTTATTTTTTCCTCATTTACATTTGTTCATTGCCTCCATTTTCTATCCTGAGTCTCTCCGGCTCTCTTTTTCTACCACCCCAGTGTTAATGCGGTTACGTGCTAAGCAAGTGTGAGGGCCAGTACAAGTAATTACATTTGCATTATTGAAGCTGCTGGCTTTAATCAACTCCCTGTGCCTTGTCCCCTTCTCTTGCTCTCCATTTCTCCCTCTTCTTCTTTGTTTTAAAGTCCTATTGTCACACCACCAGTTCTTTTTCCCAGTGTTGTTTCAACCTCATCAGACTTCTATGTTTGCTTCACATTTTTCTTATTTCATGTGTCTGACTGCTTTCACTTTTTTGCTCATCCACACCGTCTTAACATGTTTGTCGGTCCCAATCTTCGAATGGCAACTTTGAAAATGATTGCTTGTGCTGAACACTACATCTGCTTGTGTTAAAGGTATGACTCATTTAAGTGCATCGGGCGCACTCCGGTATTTCTGATTGTTTTCCTTTACATTTTCATGCCCGTCTCCTTTCTTTCATTCTTTTTTTTATTTTTTTAAACAATCTTTCCAGAGGTAAATTATTTGTCATACATAAGGCACTTTTCTCTCCGGCTGAACAGACAAACCTGGGGCAACAGGCAATTTTAACTCAATTACATTTCTTCTATTTTTCTTGTGCAAATGACTTGAATATATTTCCTTTCTCATAAAACATCGAGCGAACTACATTTTTCATCCCTCCACTTTCTATCACACACT